TTTTAGCACGGCTTTTATTATCATCATAATCATTGTCGTTGTTGACCATAATCACATCATCTTCATTACTGTTCCTTAGAATTTAGATTTGATTAAAGTTTGGAAGACAAGTAAACCTTTCATAGTCTTCTCATCATCATTGTCAGCAGGAAACAAATATTTGGATAAAAATTAGGGAATCCATTGTACTAGTAAGTAATTCAGTGAAAAGTGTTTGTTTTAGAATTATTGCAATAGTAGTTACCTATTTGCTTCTGGTTTGATTTAGTTTTCGTTTGGTTTGTAGAATTTGGAGCATTGGAGAAACTGAATATCTTTTCTTTTCTTCCTGGGGACTTCATTTGCTGGGCTTATTTAATCTTAATTATTCTGCAAACAAATTATATTAAATTTTGCCGGCCTTATTTTTTCTTTTCACTTCACACCACGTTTGTCACCAAAAAATATAAATATAAATATAAAAATAAATTATTAAAATAATCTCCAAAAGTTAGTATTTCATATAAATTGGTCCTTAATATTTTTCTTGTTATAAACTAGTTTCTAACGTTTTTAATTTATTTTAGACATTATTTTTCTTCTATTTTTAATGAAAAAAATAAAAATAATTAGATCATATTTAAATATTTTTTTAAAAAATAAAAAAACATTAACTTTACTCATTAATTAAATTTATAAATGAATAACAAACTTAATATTTTTATTAATCTTTTAATTTAATTAATTAATTAAAGTCATTTTTTTGGTTAAATTTTAAAAATATTTAATTATTTTAAAATTAAATTATAACAGAAAATATTATAAAATAAATTGTAATAAATATTAAATATTAAATATTAATATGTTAATTTATTATAAAAATTAAAAATTAAATTTCAAATAAGAAAAGCGGCTGCAAGACATTGAAAAATTAAATTGACATGCTTTCAGCGCTGGCATGGGAACTGCATTGCCTAAATTTGTCTGTTCATTTTTTATCTTCTTAGATAAGATTTTTCAAGGTTACTGTGAGTACTTAATTATAAAAATTTAATTGTTACATAGTGAATACAATATGATTTATTGAAATAATAATATTTTTATTTTTATCAATGTACTAATGAATTAAGTAATTGGTTTCACCGAATCAAGTATTATAAACTAATTACCGATTTATAAAGTAGCAAGTCAAACCGGTGGGTGGCTTCCCAACTCAAACACAAAGGAGGTATAATCCTTTATTTAACACGTATAATCTTAGATGGAGAGTGTGATATCCTCAATACTAATTATAATATAAGAGTTCCAAATAACAATATAGAATACGAGTGCATTAGATAAAATGTATGCAACATTATTTTTTTGTTTTAATAAAATTCTTTATAAAATATATGAGTTTCTAATTACATATACAGTTGAGGACAAAAGCGGCGACAAACTACAAAATACCAAAATATAAAAGAGGACCACTTATATCATTTTATAAATGGACTCATCAGAGTGTGGAACAA